AGTTCTCAGGAAATGTCTTAAGAAGCTTTTTTGGCTGATAACAACCATATCGCGCAAATAAGTATAACAGCATGGTAGTATTTACCGCGTCAGTTACTGTAATGGAAATGAGAAGCTACAATACGATCTACGTAAGGAAGATATAGAACAACTGTGCACAATTTTTCCTGCTACTTAAATTTTTCCTGCTGCTTAAATTTCAAGAAAAGGCTTCCTAACAATAGCCCAGTCTAGGGTCAAATGTACCTACCTATAACTGCAAAATAATACAAACACCTAAATTTATTGTTTACGCCATTATTCCGTGTATACTTCAGCCATATTTTTATAGGAGAGATGTGCGTATCACTCGGTTCTGCCTTCTAATTTCCCTGTATGCTACAATGAGCAAAATGTCAATAAAACATCCTCTTCAGGTTTTCCGTAATTATAGAAACCTTAAATTATTGCATCCCCGGTTACCAGTGCATTTTTCATTGCGCTTAGCCTTTTACTCTTACTTCGTGTACGCGATCCCTACAACAATCCACTGTAACAATTTAACACAGCATGAGCCGCGCAAGATGATATGGCTGTTTCGGTCATTGTGGTTTACGACCAGTTGTAGACTTCATCTTATTTTTCCTTCGTTTGGCTTTTCCCTTGTTCAATTTATCTTTTGTTCTCCTTGAACGATGCTAGTATCGGGCCTTGATTGTCGCCTCCGCTAAGGCGTTGGACTGTTGTTCTATTGGTGTTCGAACATTCCTCGTAGCACTATTCGGCTCTCTTCAGCTGGTCTCTTGTCGATTCGTCTTCATTGAATTGGAAAGCGCCATATCAAAAGCGTGGGTGGACGGATAAGGGAGTGCGTTCTGCAAAATCAACGTTAGACCGGCCTTCCTTTTCAGTTTCATTTGTTGCTGTGGCCTCTATATATGCGTCGCTTGGCAATCGTTGTAGTGCTGCAAGTGGTCTTAGGAGTCTGTCGAGTTATGAATGTGAAACGCGCTGACCTTGCAATAGCCGGGACAGCATTTCACAGTTTCATCAAAGCTGGCCCAATGGCCTGGACGTCCTAACAGCCCGATGGCAGACGATTTGCGAGTAGACCAAGAATCTATTCAGTTGTTAACGAAGCCCAATCGGTTATCCCAATTGCCGTGTATTGCAGGAACGAATATTCTTTGAATTAGATTAATGAGAATGTCTCTATGGGCCATGCTACGGGGGGAAGGACCAGCGATATTAGAGGTTATATAAAGTTGTTATCCTCAGAGGGTTGCATCGAGAATCTGTCTGCTTTTAACTAAGAGGTGTGAACACATTTTAATAGTAAAATGCGCAGACAAGCATATAGATAGGGAAGATGAATGGTGGTTGATAGCTGAAAACGTGTAGATGTTACGATCCCATGAATTGGGAGTGCAATTTATAACAGATAAAGCGACTTAGACAAAAAAAAAAAGGGTTAAAGACATAATAATAAAATGGACGAACAAACACAGCCCAGTATATTTATGAATAGCAAATCTTTATAATAATAATATCAATGGTTCCATCATGTTTAAATAGTTTAAAGTTTGGCTTGACATTTTTCATCCCACTTTGCAATGGGTTGGGTACGTCGAACATAATGTCAATAGACACGAAGTAATGTTATAAGAGTTGCTTCATTTAACTGCTGCGCTCTGCTAATGCTTTTAAATAGATATGTACTAACAATAATATGGTTAAGTTAAGAAGCTTTTTTGGTTTGCGCTTTTAGCCGGTCTAGCTTTCTATATTTAAGTAACATTAAATATGCCTTGCCGCATTATAAAGGCTGAAATAAAATGATTTGCTTATAGTCTATACATATACAATGAAATCAGTGAACCGTGTGACGAGCCATTGTGTGTCTTATCCAGTCTCTCCGATGATGATGAGTCTTAGTTGTATAGACGGTGTCAGATACGCCGTCACTCAGTATACAGTTCGCGGATTTTTTTGATACTGTCTATTAGACTTACTTATGATGACCCAGAAAACGATTGCTACTGCTATCGATGCCAACGAAAACGCAGTCGATACCATTTCCGTGTTCTACTTTCGACTTCGTTTAACATCAAAGGCCTGCTAAAATGGGTCATACGTTTCTCTTTTAATAAGTCTTATTTTTACACCTGTGCTATAAAACCGCTTCTGTAGAATACTGTGTTTGTGTGATTACACTTGCAGGCCCGCTGAGTTGCCATTATGTGTAGTACAGGATAAACGGTGTCAGTGAAATGAGGATACCTGCACATACATGGATCACTAGCCAGTGGTATAGTTATATATAAAAAGAAAAAAAGCCACGCACGAAACGTCTCTCTTAGTTTTTTTTTTTTGTTATAACTTTTCGGGACTACTTGGTTGCGAATGTTTAAAATTGAAAAGGAGATTTACTCACGTCATACAAAGAATCCAAGACAAGGTCAACGAGAGTTTTTCGAAGGTTCGTGACCGCATATAACAAGGTAAAATGAGAATCACAGTTGGGTGTACGTTTATGCATTACGCTACATCTCTGTGCTTGGCTAAATTTGCACCGCATCTAACGTTCCCTCTTTCCGTCAACTGTTTTTAGCGATAAGGATGCACGCTTTGAAAATTAATGAATAGGGTGGATTATGTTTTCTTGGCCGATTCTCGGCCTAGAATGCTTCACAGCTTTCGGCGTTAGAACCTTTTTGAACTCTACTGCAGAAGTTGTAAGATGTCCGTTCTCGACATTGTAAGCACGCAGCTTCTATCGACGTCCTTTTGGCTTTATACTTGTTTTGGATGTCTTGCTTTGCGGAAAATATCACCTTTAAGACTGGCCTTCGCAAATGCCTAGATTCGATTAGGAAATAGGGAAAGCCTAACTTAAAACACTACTAACCTTGGTTATTGTTTCAGCTATCACCCGAACGGATATAATAGGATAGATGGCAACTATGACAACAATGATGTTTTGTAGACTTCTCGGGTAACCTATAACTTTTTAACTATTCAAAGCTGCTGTATCCAAAAACAAGTTTTCTGTCATTTTCGAGACTGCATTTCTATTGTTTACAGGTGTGCTACTGTCGCCTATGATATCAACAGGCGGCGAGCCTGCTTGCCGCGTAAACCTAACAGTGTTTTTTGTAGAGTTTCTCAAAAGTCGTATCTGATTAAAGCGTTTATTTCTGTCTCCTCAAACGTTAGCTCGGTAACGCATGCATTTGAGTTGCTAGAAGTATTGCATTTAATCAGCATACACTAGATGCAGTAACAGCTAAGGCCGCCATGGTGAAAAATGTATTTTTTGTTGTTCGATAGCCAAATGCTTTCTCATTGTTCTTGACTAACGATATGTTGGCTTTGACTGAAGGTCAGAGTACGAACAGTGAGACTCATTGCTAGAAACGCTACGAGATATTTCTGTGGTGTCATTTAAAGGAAGCACAATACAAACTAAACCGCAAGCCATTTGTAAATTGGGGTCGTTCGGTTGCCCTCTCTATATAGAAGGCTGTACTTTCGTCTCCGCCCCCACCAATCTAAGTAGTACACAATGCATGACAACAGAATTTTATTTATTTCTAGGCGACTTTGCAGGAGTGGTCGTAGATCGACCGCAAGCATCAAACAAAGAGCATAAGAGCGAATGTGGTGCCGCCCGACCAATAAGCCAGTAGAAGGCTCTATACGCAATGTTGTGCAAAGAAGTCTGCCCAGCTGTTAGAAAGCCCAGGAGAGTGAAAATGAGTGCGCCAAAATATCCCGCCACTAGGGCGGGCTGCATGCACTTTAAGCACGCAGGCAAAAAAGGGGACGTTGCAATTATGTTATAAAAGTTATTAATTACAATGAAACACGGTAGAAAGCTGAGATAGACCTACAAAGAAAGTAAAACTGTTTTCCGCTGCATCTAACCTTCTCACATATATATATACATGCACACATACATACATATATATGTTAATCTATGATATTATCAAGGGATTATTATTACTGCTATTATAACTCAGCAAATTCGAACGTTCAGCCATGGGAAGCGCCAAGTACTGGTTGGTCCGCATGCGTAGGCGATTCGGTAATAATATTAGTTTGAAGCCTTTCTTGTTACTTTTTGCCTAAAAAACTGTTTGCCGTAATCCTAAATGAGGAGATTGTCGCTGTTGCTCACTTTATAATAGTTAGTGAAATGAAAAAAGTGCTGAAATTGAAATTAGTGAATGAAAAAGAATTCTCAATTTTAGAAATTTCTGTTAAAGTGTCTTGGAACCTGCACCCTTGCCTCTGTGGATCTCGCTGTAGTTTCAATTGCAGCAATTTAGTCTTGGAGACGTAAGACGAATGTCCTATGACGTCCTGATGACGACATATTTTTTGCGCGCACTACTCACACACTATTAAGCTGCATAAACATTACATTTAGTAGGGTAGGTCAACTTATGGCGCGCGAAATGTTTTTTTCTTCACAAGCGTTTGCTTTTATGATTAATACACTAATGTATATATTCGGATCTGTACAGTATGCTACGCACCAACGGCTTACTAGACAGGATTTCCTTACTAGGTATCCTATGCACGAAACCCTTTGCACAAGAACTCCATCGTTAAAAAGATGTCGTATAACATATTACAAACTCTTCTATAATGGTCGGCTTAAAACCTCTCGTAGTCACTATACAGGATAGTGTATATATGTAAATTAGTCAAATATGCGATATGTTGCGATTAATACTCCAAGGCCAAGATTTGTCATGGCTGGATGAAAAACTCTAGATTCGGGAAATCTCAGTTTTCTGAAACCACCTTTGCCATTCTATAAATCCGAAATTTACAGTTTCGGACACACTATATACTCGTCATCAACAACAACAGCAGCAGTCAAATGTCATAAGGAAGAGTCGAGAGGGAAGCTTTGGTGACATAATCAAAAATAAAATATTTATTACGAATATCATTATCATTGTGCCATGTCTGTTATTATTACTATTGGTCATTGGAAAAAGTTACGGCGCGATCGTTTTACGTATACAAAGCAGTTGACCCTGATTTTGGGGATTTCCATTGGCACATGTGACCTCGACGACGGCAATGATGCCGGCGTAGTTGCAGTTACGTTGCATAATAAGACTTAATAATATATAAAACACGATAAACTTCATATCCGCTCGCAAGTAGCTAGAGCGTTGTCAATATAATGATTCTTAACTGACGTGTACGTTATTGTCTACGTAATGTATAATACAAATATATATAAACTGTTTACCTTTATATACACATTAGAATATTTATTTTTATTTTCTTGCCGTTGTACCTAATTAATCCTTCGTCGTATGTTCGATGAGGCGCCCATTGCGTTCTACATCACTAGCCGATAGACACTATCGGGATCATGCCAATACATCTATGGGACGATGACTCGAATTACCGAGGCAATTACTGATAATGAGGTATCATCAGCCCGATTATTTCCATTTGGTTTATATTTTCTGAAATATAACCGTTAAATTAGGGTGTTTGTTTTACAACTGCGTAATTTCGGCGATACGAATCTACAAAATTTAGCTAGCAGTACATTTACAAGACAGTATCAGCAGATGTAATGAGACAGAATTATTTTTTGTTAGTATCATCGAATGAATATTAGTATCTCGTTTGCGACAATTCGTAGACAGTGAATATTTAACCGTACCTAACTAACTTCTATAGGCTGCCCATTAAAATGGGTTTTATTCAGGTTGGCACCAAATTGTACTGTGTTCGTTAAATTTATTTTAAGTTCTTTCTATTGTCGTTTGTGCATATCGTCGCCAGATCTATAGTCACATAGCCACAAAGCCATGCATGCGTGCGAACGCGGATTCACAGACCGCGTCTCTATACTCATCTGGGCGGTTTTAATAGAAACTCATACGTTACACGTACGGTATAGTTTTTCGTTGTAATTTAAACTACTTTCTACTTTAATAATTATAAGTTCGCCTTAGTCAGTAGCTTTAATGTAGCTACGATCGAACGCGGTTGTTTTTACGTACGTACGTACGTACGTTCGTTCGTTCGTATATAATTGATATCATCCTTACTCGTTCCGATTCGATGTCGTTGTATGCTACACGCCAGCATATCGTGGACGCTAGGACTCTCTGGATAGTTAAGGTCGACTAGGCCAGACCGAGCCAGCCTCCTGCTGCTTTTAAACAATCGATAATAATCTTTTTATTTCGATCTCTGCCGAACGCACGAGTCTGTACAAAGATAGGGTCGCTACTGAGTGTCTGTTCGTAACGATAAATCAAAGAGAAAATCATTATTTTCATGTCCACCATAATTACAGGCAGGCAGACCGGATGGGGAGTTTTATTTGTTTTTTTGATTGACAAGAGCGTCATTCACTTCTGCTTGTTAGAAACCAAAAAGTCACAACATAGTTATTTTATGTAACGCAATAATCATTATTATACCGACAAAAAAAAAAGGCTCAGGCTATAGACTAAGTTCAACCTGTAATCATATGTTCACCGCGCTAACTTCGGTTACTGCTGCTAGAGCCGCTACCGGGCTGCCCTTATTGACACTCTGAGTAGGCTCCAAACAGAACTTCAAGTATCGGTCTTTTCGCAATTTCTACTTGAAAGTTGCGTTACAAAAGCCTCCTCATCAACTTCCAAGCAGAGTTTGTTTGGTCTTGGTCATCCGAGGGCAGCTTGTACGTGTATGGCTGTAAATATAGGTTAACAAGGAGACAAAAGAGTCATCCTGTTCGTGGCAATTCTGTTACCTGTCTTCTCCTAATTGCAGACGTATTTTTCGCAAAACCAGATCGAATTCTAGATCAGTCAAAGCTATATCAACAGCAGTACGAGGCTTTCAAAGACTTCTAGAGCATTTCTTGCGCTAACGATCTGCTTAGAGTAACCGTCGTTGATTCGGAAGTCAGCGTTAGAAAGTAAGTGCTGCAATTGTAAACGTCATTTTTGAACGGCAAAAATGACTAAATTCAGGATAAATCCAAATTCAAGTGCCATTTTTGATCGATATTATTATTTAGCACGTAGCCGGCAGACCTATCTCTATAAAACGAGCAGTGATTTTGTAATGCACTAGCGAAACTGACCATATCTCTATATATGTGCCTTCATTCAGCTGTGTTTAGCATATTGTCAGAGATAGAGCACAACTGTGGAGTTATATCGTATGGGGGATGTTGTTAGGGAATAGCTCCACAGAGTACCACAGTAATATCATCATATACATATATAAATGGAAACGACAGTGCATCGAATCGGTAACGTACTTTGCGAAATCGTATTCGAGAAGAATTCTACTCCGGGTAGGTACGTTGCCATTGTATAAGCCTAGTTCATGTACTCGTGGATGGGCGGCTTGGTGCAACGCGACTGGTGGCGCTCTGTGCAATTTGTTGATGCCCTCGACGACAACGCCTAGCAGACTTGTCGCGATCATTTCAGACTTCCTCTGGCCCTACGCGGACCGCCAGCAGACACTGCGGTATATCTCTTGTAACTTTTAGAATTGTTGTTGCTGTTGCTTCGGCCGTACGACGAACGGCAGAAGCGACCGTCAACTTACGAAACCGTTGTTGTTAGTGAAGTTATATTACTGCGTTGGTTACTATTGGACGAAGCTTCTGCTGCTGTCGCCCACGTTATAGTTGATGTTATCGACAAAATACGTCGAAACTATATGACAAGAACAACAATAACAACGGGATATATTTATGTATATGTAAACAACAAGTTGCGGGTGACTCAAGCAGAGCAAAGCACATGCTAGCACAGCACAAAGCAGAGATTTCATGCCAGGTGAAAGCGAGAAGAAACACACGCACAAATGTGCGTAAACGCGTATGTACATGCTGTCGCATGTACGGTGATGCCAGGCGAGGGGCTGCTGGGCCACCGGGTTCGTTTAATCGTCCTCTAATAATTTGTCTGAAAGAGGACTGGCAGAAAAAAAGTGAAAGCAACATAGAGTCGGTGCTGTAGTTTCTTTCTGACCTGCGTCGAAGAACTATATCGTTACCAACCGTTAACGCTACTTAGATAACCCAATAGCGGAGTCTGTTGTACGTGTTGTAGCCAACAAACAAGTCGAAAAGAAAAAGTAATGACTAAAAAGTATAAGACGATAATAATCAATATCCGAATAGTAACAGTAACAGCAGGGAGATAATAATCATCTGTACTCGTAATCGATCGTAATAGTGAGAATCATCGCCGTGGCTGCTACTGTTATTATCATCATTGAAGAAGACTCACATGAAACGTGTGATCGCGGAATGTAATGATACGATAAATGTGATAACGTTATTTTATTGTGAAGATCGTTTGTTGTTCTTGAGTTCGATGTATCGACTAAGCCAAACACTTAGGTTGTTATGATCTTCCTCCGAATATACTTTGACATAAAAGAGCTTAATCTTGTTTGTTGATGCATAGTAAAATCCGCCGGCCAGAATATAGTGGTTCTAATTTGGATTCGCCGGCCGTACAGGGATCGCTCACATAAAGACCTCCGTCACTGATACGCGCTCCTGTCTTCGCCCGTACCCCTTGGTAACAACAACTAGAAAAAAAAAAAAAAAAAACTATCCAACAACATAGTTCCTATGAGCTAGAGGATTACTGTCTTATTATTTTTCGTTCGTAGCTTTATTTGTATAGCCTATGCATTATTGACTGTTCAAGTGTAATAACGGTCTACCTTTTTAGGAGGTTCACGAAAAGAAGATGTTGTTTTTGAGGTCACTTGTTTACAATTAACGCTGTTTTCGTTAGCCTCCTTTTGTCGTCCTATTCATCGTGTTCCTATCAACTTGAGGCTTGATCATCGCTTTGAGCTTCATCAGTATCGTTCGTACCGCCATGCCTTACCGGGTCTGCGTTACAAAATGCCTTCTATTTAATTTGTCATCTTCTACTTCCGGCCAAAAGAATTTCGATCAATTAATTTTATCCGTTTCACGTTCTTAACAGGTAATCCCGATCAACTTGCCCAACCTTAATCCTCTCGACTTTCGGAAACCATTGCACTAGCTACTAACGATCGATATTAGCCCCTTCGAATGGAAGATCATTTCAATTTATAGCTCTCGCTAACAGTACATGGGCATACATGTGGATTTACGCTTTGGTACAATATAAATTATTCGTATTATGTTCTATGTTATCATTGTTATTACGGTCATATTTACGATTGTAATTTTTGCTATTTAGTTTTTAGAAAGATGTCCTTTATCGTCGTACCTGCGTTTCGTTAGGAGTAAGGAATTAATTGAAGACTTCGTGACTTTACTGTCGGTACGCATAAAGCAACGGGGTTCGTCCGTTTGAATGTTTTGTCTGTCGATTTTCTTTTTCTGTCTGCTTCCATTTTTATTTCTATTTCTCACTGAAACATTCACGCTGTTTTGCTAAGTTGAAATCGCGATTTTCGGGAATGTTTTAGCTAGGGAATGCTATCTGTTCAATGCTGGATTCTGTGTATCGATGCCATCGTATGATTCACCGCAGATCCGTTGTTCTGAGCTGCATACGAGAGACGCACGGTCTGACACTAACTGGAAAAGACTGCTATCAACTATTCCCACAATTATACAGAAGTTCCATCTCGTTAATGTATGTAGCATAATATTAGAGAGAAAAGATGGATATTCAAACTAAATCAAAAAGATCTTTCTTTGTCTAAATGTCAAAAGTACTAGTAACCGCTTTCTTTTCGTACGCTCATATTCGACAGTGCAAACACATGTTGTATGTACATCATACGATAATCAAAGTTCATCCACGATCACATCTCCTATAAAACTGAGCATCACGATCATAAGAAACCATCGATACGAGAAGGCTATTGTCTATTCCCGTGCATTTCTTCTACAGTACACCTGGCGTATGCGCTTCTGCCCAACTTATTTTATTGTAATTATCGTAAAACTGCCCACGTACGTCGCGGCCCAGCTGAAGGAAGCAATTATATGCGCGTCCATTTGTATTGGTCCGGCCCGTTGTGGGACTGCGCGGATCGGCGTGCGCTTTCTAAAGGCATGGCGTACGACCTGCCAAAACCCCTAATAATGGCGTTCGGAGGCAAATCTATTGACAACACGAATTCGGCTGTTGTAGCCTGCTTTTACCCACATTCGTCAAACACCGTCTAACCAATGACCTTTCGTTGTTTATCTCGTGTGGGCTTCTAACATCGATATGTTTACATTATAACTGGTGCGTTTTTCCTTTGCCCGGTACTGGAATAAACATTTTGCTGTTACTCAGCGAACGTTGACGTCCACCGAATATGGTGCTACACCATGAATCGTTCCGCGTGCACTCACAATCACAATGGACCTGACCTGAGCTAAATGAGCAAAGGACCCAGCCAATATAAATTATTTTTACAATATATCGAATGAATGAAAGGAAAGGAAAGCTAGCTAGATGACAGGAATACGACATTTCGCCTTTTCCCCCGATTGAATAATAACAATACAGGAGCTCTAGATGTTATGAAAGATTTTCTGCCTCCGAAGAGGTGCAGCGACTTGGACCGAGTTCAACTACCCTTTTGATTTAGTTGTATACGGTCCTCAGCTTCTCAGAAACCGAAAACCTATACCTAGGCACCTTACCGTACGTTTTATTTATTAGCAACCATTTGGCTCTACAGCCGGCTGACAAAGCCAAATTTAAACCCAAACATTAGCAATAGATTTAGGCGAGAGCTACAGTTTTCGTGAACGAGCGAATATTAATGATTAGGACTCTTTTTTGATTAGCCCGAATGTATAGGTATACGAAACAACTGCGATATTAGGACTTGTAGACATCCTCGTGTTTCTGTTGCTTTCTGCAATATTGTTTTCTATCGTTACAGCCTGTAACTTCGGTTTTGTGTATTGCGTGAATATCAAGAACTGTGTTTGCACTCACCAATCATCTTGGAAATGCTCTACCAGCATGAGGCTCAAGAATGCTTTTTTTTTTTTATCACAGATATCCTGCGATGCGTATTAGTGTATTTCAGTAAAATTCCTATCTGCTTCTTCGAAATGGTTTCAGAAGATCTTCCTATTTTGGAATAGATTTTTGCTAATACCCTAACACAGCCCAAATACCAACTCGATAAACGAGAACGATCGGGAGCAGTGTTTAGAAATGTATCTTTAATATTTTTCTGTGATTTCGATCCAACTGGAAGTAGCCGGTGTCCTAAAATTTACTCAATAATGTGTGCAACAGGTTTTTGTACTGCCGTTATCACCGTTTCCAATCAGATTAGTTTTAAAGAGATGTAACTAAACGACGCCTTACTTCGTTTTTGTGTCTGCCTTTATTTCTTTTTTCTTTCATATATATATATGTATTTAGTATTGTTTACGGTCAAAATGAATATTTGTTCAAATACTTTTTTATCAAATTAGTGGAGACATGTTCATCGGGTTCCGTAGGTTCGCAACGGTGCGTAGCACCCCTCACATAGCGCATTGAGAGTAGACTTCATGATCAAAACTACAACTCAGTTTGTTGGATTGAACGAATTTAAACAGGCTATAGGAATGGTCAAAATGGAAAAACTATAGCGAAACAATCGTCCTTGATCAAACCAGGAAATCGGGATGCGCACGGCTTCCACGGAAACAGACTGGGCTAGACAAAATCATAGACAATCATTTCTCCAATTTTTTTTTCTTTAGCTTCTTTCTGCTTGAGCAGAACACTCAATTGCAACATAGAAAAAAATCTTAATCATCTAAATTTGAAACACGAGAGACCAGATTAAGAAGCATGATTCGCTGCAAGTACTGTTTATTTTTAAACCTTCAGTAATTAGAATTTTTTTTACAACGGTTTTTCGCTTTCAGAAATTGGAAAATCGTTGAAGTATTCTAATTTCTGAAAACCTAAAGGTACATATATAATAAAACAAACTAACCTCATTTCTTTTTTGTTTCAAGGTGTCAGCTCGAATGCCTAAAGCGACTACCTCCTCTTAGATCTACCAGCCAATTCAGTGTCAGTTTCCAGCCATGAACTCATTTTTGGCTCTCTTCCCATCCTTTTGTCCACCGTTTTTTCGCTACGTTCTCATCATAATTTCTTACGCAGGAGTCGTTCCTCCGTCCGTCTGCTCCAGCGCAATTTCGAACAATTTATTAGGTTCAATACGCATTCAGAACAGACCGATGGCCATAAAAAATTTATTTGACTTTTATCACTCTACCTTCTTTCTATACGATGTCCAATTTATATATTTTTATTTGTGTTATTAATGGAACGTTTGAAGTTTTTGTTAAATGTTATCAATAAAGGAATATAGAGTGGTGCCACAGTCGGTTTGTTGAATGCTTTCAGATGTAACGCGTGAGTCTGTGTGTGAATGAGGCTAGACGCAATACGAGAACCGTTGTACTTGGCCATGTTCTTAAACAGATAGACACAACGGTACTTGACAGATCGCGTTCTGCATTGAATATATTGTGACACGATTTCAAGGAAAAAAAGTAGAACCTAAAGCGCCCGTCTGTTTATTATCTGTTTCTTCTTTCATATAATAGCAGCAAACAAGGGAGAGAGAGAGACGCAACGGAAAAAATAGATCACTTTTAAGATAATTGAGATTGGTTTGTTCGCGCGTATTTAGTTTCTTATCGTTAGACGCAATCAAGCGTTTTTTTATTTATTTTACTTTATGTGCCTCAACATATCACCATAGATTTTATTGATATAGATACATTATTTTCTTTTACTTTAAGCGGTTACTATTTACCCCATAGCAAACACATTGTTTTTGCACGAAATAAAAATAACAGTAGCATTATTATTGTAGGAGACGTGTTATGACATTCGATCGAGTTTGGCAATATCTCTAGATCATTGAATTTTTATTATAATACATTAAATTTAAGACAAACGATGACTGAAAAAGTTGTTGGCCGATTTCACTGCACATTTATCTAGCACAGGTTTTTAGTACTATTCCAACTTCAGCGCAATTTTTTGTCAGCTTTTGAGAGAAACGCCCAACAAATAAAACCCTCGTTGTCTTTCTTCTATATGAACCAGTTTTTGTGGTACAATTACTTCAATTATATTTTGTAAAAGACCGCTTCTTTCTCTAGAGTGCATTGCCTGTCAATGAAATTTGGCGTGCGGTGCATCGTAGGAGTTTTTGTGATCGTTTTATGTGAGATTAGATGCCGGAAATTTATAATAAAGGTCGACTATCCTGAATGTGGGAACAGATATGGTCCTTTTTCAGTTGATCCGATTACGGATAGCTTTACGATTTATGAAGTAATATCGCTTCAGCTTTCTATTTCGGGATAAATCAACAACAGCTACTGCGGTGAAATGGTGCCAGTTACGATCTATTTATAAAATAGATAGTAAATCATAGAGAATTTCGTTCTTCAAACGACACTTAGTTTCGAATGATTTTTTTGTGTCCGAATTTCGAAGATTTACTTGTGAATATTAGATGCTCATGGTAGCGCTTATCGAGCTTGATGAAATGAACCACCTGATCACATCGGGTTTTCCAGAAGCAGAGCTTATCCATTCGAGTCCTACCGAAAAAAAGGTGCACACAGTATGCCCTATGACGTAGGATTGCTGCGAGCAAACAGAGATATCGACCCTTCTACCATCATTTTATCCAATACGAGCAAACTTAACGATCAAGTCATCTTCCCTATTTCTGTTCGAACCCTGGTCAGTGTGCGGTACATTAATATGATGCTGTCATCCTTTCACTCTGATGGTATCTAATGTACGTATGGCCCCGATCTCAATTGGTCTTCCATTAATTAGTATTTGTTGCAGTACCTTCGGGCTGCTTCGTTACCCGTTGTCGTTACCATTGTCGATAGTAATCTTGAACTGATCTGTTGATATGGGTCACGCTTGTTCCTATGTGCCAGCACTGATATCTCTAGAAATCGTAACTCTAGGGAAAGGCATAAAGATACTTTATGCGAACTAAATAAATTTCATATCGCCGTAAAGCTTACTTACTCTTAAATCGCGGCATCGTCAATGGGGTTCGTGGAAGTGCTTACAATGGGGCCTATTCTTTCGATCCGGGCGTATTTATGAGGCAATCGGCTGTTTCGGACGGCGTTTTTGGTGCCGGCCTGAAGCTCCGCTAACGAATGTTAACGAAGCGCTAAGCATCCAGTTGTCGTACTCAACGAATCTGATCTTTTTGAAGACATTGTTCATTGATCATTATCTATGTTTATTCTACGTTCCTGTGCTGTGGATCAGTTCGATCGAGGCAATTCTTGCACTTGATAAAAATTGTTCGGGCAAATCACTTGTTTTCGATATTTCATTAAATATATCGGTACCAAGTGCAGACATTACCAATATCCCTTTGCATCAATGGAAGAGCTCAACTGATCAGTGTTCACTATAGATACTAAAATGTTTTTTAATTCTATTTTGTGTATGGCACTTAGCTATCGGTGAACGCTCCGCTAGTAAACTACGTGTCCTGAGTTTTCGCTCGTTCGTTTGTGGTATATTGATATTCAGCCGCACTATTCGTTCAATGCGATGACGAAAAAAAAAAAGCTTTTAACTAAATGAGTTCGACTCCTGTCGATTGTTTAGCCTATAGTCCTTCAAGACCTCTAGCCACATTATTGATTCTGTTGACCGAGAGATCATTGTAAGGCCATACAGCGTACGTGATATTGTATAGTTCTGCTACGAAGTATCACGTCTGGCAGCTTTGTATCGCTTGTAAATTATATGCGCAAGATAAAAACATCTACTCTCTATTGTAAGCAGCCTTTCAGCTAATCTAAAACTATCGCCGCAACATACAATAAGACTTTAGAAAATGTTATTATTAGAGAAAAATGTTTCGAAAAAATAAAAGGACAATAATTACCTAGCTAGAGTAGAGTGCTGTTGCTCGGACCAAGCCCCTATGACGTCACAGTGGTCATCCAGTAAACAGCAGGGAAGAGGTATCGACAGCGAGCGTCTGTTGGAAACTAGATGAAACAAGGGATATCAAATGGAGTACTTTTATCGATAACACACTTGATTCGACCAATATCCGTTATCGATGTGTGGAGAATCATTTGCACCACCATTGTCTTGATGATTAAACACTGTTTGTGTTCCTGTGTTTTCTCTATTACATTATCGTCTCGTCGATATACATATATAATCGGATGGTTAAAAAATGGCAAGCAAATGGAGTGAGCTTAGACCCGCACCTTTTGCGTACTAATAGTCAGTTGTCCGATCGTGTTAGTAATATTTGCTATAATTCCAACGCGGCTTTACCTCGCAGCTTGCCTGGCGTCGTTACACGCCGCGGCAAAAACCGTTGAGGACTCATTAGGGAAAAGCGAACTATAATAGTAACAGTTCCGTCGACCGCACAGTGGTAGGCTTTACCTTTGCTGTTATCTTCGCCGTAGCGCTGTTGTCGTAACGAATCAAATGTTTCTCCTCCACTCGAAGTCAGAACACAACACTTGTCCGTCTGTTCTTCTCGATAACTCTGAGAATATTCAACGAAGCGCCGTGACTGCCGCCACTGCTCTATGACAGCGTTATTTTCCCTATATATATATATATATATATATATGTACATATATCTATTCTTGTTTTCCTTGAGTCAGTGCTTGGAGCACACGTTTCGCCGTCGGGTGGCGCGCTGGTGTGGCGTCTTTGTCGACACTTTCGCCAAGCGCCATTGTCGAACGACAACTGCGAATAGCCAACGGTAAGCGGAAGCGCTTAATTCGCACAAGAATTTGTCCTTCCAACTATTATATTTACATAATTGCTTTAGGGCCAATGGCCACCCTAAAAGACGAACGGAATCGACCTTTCGGTTGCCTGCGCTTACACTACGACCATCAACGTTTTAACGCTGTCCCATTTAAAGCACCATTGTACACTTGTTATTACTGCTGACCAACAGGCATCGCCAAGAAATTCGAACTAACTCAATCAATATTGTAACAGCCAGTGGTTTTGCTTGTCCATTCTGAAGATCGATCAATAAATACCACTTAAAAGACGTTCTTATATATATATATGTGTGGGGAGACGGTGTGCAATGAATTTCGTTTTGGTCACCTTTCTTTCGAGCTAGCACAAAGCGTATTGGGCAAACATGGTATTACAGGCCTCTTACTAGCATTAGGTTAGTACGACTAGTGCGGGCAAACCTGATTTTGGTAACCTATTAACTAGAACAAAACACTCGTAATACATTCAATGGTTAGCATGTGAGTTAGATTGAGAGAAGCCCGCCCGCTGCTTTATCTGTAAAGGCACGTGAATCTACTATTAGACACTGCTAGATAGAACGTCTCGTCATACAATCCTCGATTAAATTTTCAATAAAGCTAATTGGCAACCGTTTGTACATGGCAGCGCGTGGCGTTAGGCGTTCTTCCAGCGAACAATAAAGCGTGTAACATATGGAGGTAATCTGGATCCGACCCAGATAATCATCTGGATTAAGTATTCCATGCATAACTCAGTATTACAACGAATGGTGGCTGTTCTCCGGTTATAGTAGAGGCACAGTGAACCAATCGAATCACAAAATGTTCTGTGACGCCGCGACATAGTCAGAATCCGCTCAAGATATGTCAGGAAAGTAGCAGGATTTATCCTGGTACTTGTCACATCTATGTCACTTCGACCTTTATATTATTACTATTATTATTAGCACAATGGCTATTTAGTAGATGTCGTTGTCCATCAGCTCCGACGCCATGTGCAAACTCTGCAATCAGTAGTACCTACTCGCGTTTTCACCAGCTATCTTGTTACTGTTTGTTCTGAATACCAGCAGGCAACGGCGGGCCACGGTAGGTATATAACTGTGGCCAGCAGTAAACCTGCGCTCTTTAACAGCAGAAGCCCATAACAGACTCTCAAGCATTCACTCACACCCATCGCATTGCATCATGCTGCTGGGGCCACTGGAGGCAAGCACAGGAGAGGCCCAGCAGAAAGAATGGGCTTTGTCTGGGCTTAGTTGCTTGTCCGCTTGTTTGGTCGCCTGATCGCAATGTTCAAGCATAACTAATTGTTTTTGCTCGACAGTGCTGGCTGGCTGGCTGGCTGGCTGCCTGCCTGCCTGCCTGCCTGTTTGTTTGTCTCTAAGTGTGAGCGGCTTTATATATATCTGTGTGTGTGTGCCCGTGTGTAGGACCACAGTAATTCTGTTTTACTGTCCACAATGACGACTCGAAAAATCCCTTATTCAGTCACAACAGTTTTACACGTTAATTCGAACTACCTTAACTTTAACTTTTCTATAAAAACAAGCGCTGTTCGTTGTCACGATGAACAAATCCCTTAAAGAAAGGCGGGATTTGAGAATAAAGAGGATCACAATAGATAATAATTGTTCTAATTACGATGAGATTAGCAGTAGCATGGAGGGATAGAAAAGCAACTTCCGTGTACACATCTCTTTTTAAAAACAAACCCAAAACAGACGTAGCAGTAAAAGCGCTATTCAGTTGCATCCTTGAGGATTGTGAGCATCCTTGTTTTGATCTAAGTACAGTTAGTGTAACTGCAGTGTCGGCTAAAGTATTAAAAACACGATGTAAGCCAACTGTTAAAACAAAAAGCTCCGTGTGTGTGTATTCACGAAGGCGTTTTTGAAATAGGAATTTAAAAATGTTTGTTTTAGCGAACCAATGAAGGAATACCCACAAGTGCACTCTTCAAGTAACGATAATATTTATTTTGGTCAGTTTTTGTCAAGTATAACCTTCTTGCTTTCTTTATGCCGAACGCCGACGCAGGTAACAGTGTGTGTGTGTGTGCGTGTGTGCATTCACGTAACGATGGGCGCAAGTTTCCTCTAACTTTAATTTGCATCAGCAAAACCTCAGCTACCGCGTAGGTGCTATGTTAAACGAGTTTATGTAGGTCGATAGACGTTATTGCATAACACCGAGGAGTACTATTCGAAAATGCAGCGCAGACGTCTGCTGTAAGAACAAGTGAGAACACACGATAAGCGATACACATTGTGTCGTATCATTTGTAATTTTATATATGTATATAGGGAACTTCCCTTGTTTTTCTTGATCATTAATATTATCGCATCGTGTCTCGCTTTCTACGTTTAGTACGCCAGCTTTACACTGTCGGCCAGCTGTGTTCACGAAACGGAACTATCGCTAATAGATTCGATGTTTTTGTTGTCAACAAAAGCTGTCAGTTGCAACAAGAGCCAGTTGCATCGATGAGTGGCGATACTCGCCGCTTTGCGATACTTTACTCGTAAACTTTGTGATTAATGAGATGTGAATGAAGTCCCTTACGCCTTAGCACGCTCAAGGTTAAAGTGACCGCAAATGCCGCGTCTATTTCGATGACGACTTTGTCTCTGATGCTATCGACATCAACATCAAGTACGTCCCATCCAAACGCCGCCGTAATATAAACATTGTGACTATAGCCGCCCGCACCACGTCCGACCATTTCCGGCTACAATGGATGAGAAATACAATCGGCTAACAAACAACGCTCATCTCAGCACACGGAAGAACTTGCCTCTTATGTTAATCAATGCCATCTGTGTATGGAAGCGAAGTTCGACAGCGGTTAAATGAAGCTACGGACACTGAAAAGATAAAAATCTTCTGCTGATTACGCCTTA